CACTCTCATCTCATTAAAGAAATGCTGTACTTTACATGAAACACAGTAAAACACGCCTGTTTACCTCATGGTTCCTTACTGCTGGCATAAACAGAGGAAGCAGCTCCTGTGTCTCCACATGGAGGTTAATGCAACTGAAGGAGACACAGCAAGGACATACAGTTAGTTATAAAAGACTCCCTGAAGTCCCTCACAATAGGCATTCCTGGATTCCTGAGGCGAAAGGAGAAGGACACAGTATGGGCTACCTTGAGATAAAGATCTGATTGTGTGAAGAACCTGAACTGCAAAGCAAAGGAGCTCTCATGCAAGTGTAAAAAGACCTGTATCTATTATCCAAGCTCCAAGATGCAGAAGGAGGCAGAGAAAAAGAGGTCATAGTTGCAAGTCCTTGCATCTCCTAATAGCTGGGGGGGAGGGGAGAGTGACTGTGAAAGCTTTCTCTGCTTCAACCTTTTCCAAGCACTAGGGATTGGGACAAGAGGCCCAGCATAATGGAGACCAAAGGCACGCAGAGAAATGCCTGCAAAGTGCAGCACATTTTTTCACAGTAGTGAAAAAATAGGTCTGCACCTAGCTCTGTTTCTGGGTATGCGTAAGTAGAGTCACAGGTGCAGTGAGCACAGTCAGCAATGGCTCTCAAAATCTGCTGGTTCCGTTAAAGATGCAGTCATATAGACCTTGCCTCTCGTGGGTCTGATATTTTAAGAGAAACTAACTAAGCAGAAGCAATTCTGAGCAGTGGCCAGAATGAGTGACACTCCTTTTCCAATCAAAAAACTGCTCAGAAAACCACGGGGCTGCTTCAGACACATCCTCCTTGGCTCTTCTGTGTTTGCCAGGAATAAATGTGGAAAGACTTACATGACATCCACAAAAATGATGGTTAAAGATGCAGAGTGTATGTCTGCCATCTGCCCCCAAAAATACAATTCTGCAACACTGAAGGGACACTGCTGTGCTTTAGCTCTGACTCCTTTATGAGGCTCACCTGTGAAATCTCACAGGTGGGACAAATGGAGCACAAATGGATGGTGTTCACATCACAGCAGGATGCAGAGGGAACTGGAGTCCCATTGGCAGTGCTGAGATCCCCTCAGCTCACCCAGGCACCATGCAGGAGGTGCAGCTGTGCTACCAACCAGCCTGCAGCGCAGGGAGCAGGATCTGCAAACCAGACCTCACATTGTGAGTTAGTGTACGCATCTCCAGCAGGGCTGTGAGCACCACTGCGGGCTGTGCTCCACCGAGTTCAGGCAGGAGTTCAGACTACAAAAAGGCCAGATGTGAGATGGGTCTGTAACCTAAGCAGGATGTTCAGGGGCAGGAAATCCTGCTTAGCATGCCCGGCTCCTGCATGACACACTGCAGGCGTGCCAGCCTCCTCTCTTTCCCAGTCCCAAGGGAGTAGCAAGCTCCAAAGCATATGCCATCTGCTGCCCTGCAACTCTATCATGTCACACACACAACATATAACACCAGATCCCACAGGAGAGTGGAGATGACTCCATGTGAGCCAGGACCTCCATTAACTGTGCTGGCTGCCAGGCAGGACCTTCATTTTTCGTCTCCCAGGTGCACGCAGCAGAACTGTTAGCTTCCAGGACCCACAGCTTCATTGTGAGGATAAGGGGGGAAGCTGCAATAATAGGCTTAAAACACAGAAGTCCACAGGGAGGGTTCAAACCACTTGCTTTCAAAGTCAAAGGGGAGACAGTCAAGGAGCTTGTGCCTTAGCTGTATCACAGCCTCCAGTTAGGGAGCAATACAACTCTCAGTTGCAGAAGAGGGAAAGTTATCAATCTCCACCAGAGGCGTTTACCAAGCAGCACTGATTACAGCCTAGCAGTGACCACAGAGCTACAGCTGATCCTGTTCTGGGCAGGAAGACAGACTAATAGAGCAGGAACAGAGAAGAAATATTGTAGTTTCATGTGCAGCAGGCCTCTGGGAGGCAGCGCTTCATTTGCCTGCAGGACCCGCTCTGTTCCTTCAGCAGGACACCTGCCATCTTCTTTTTATGTTGTTTACAACTGAAATACTAACAGCCATATGAAGAGTTGCAATTCTTAACGTCCAAGGCAAAACTCTGATATTGCAAACATAGAGCAATGTGCTTCATCACAGCACCATGCTGCAAGCCAAGCTGATTAGCAACAGCCATTACAGCTGCCAGTGACAGGTCCGAATGGCTGCTGTGAAACATAGCTCAGAGCTCAGAGCCAAACATGCTCACAGCTGCTCAGAGCCATCAGAGGTGGTACAGCAGGAGATGAACGCCAGAAGTCTGAGTTTGTTTGGCTGATGTAGCATATGAGTTTAAGCCTGCTGCTGTGTCCCCATGAAAGCAAGCAGGCTCTATTTCCCTTAGATCAGCTTAGAAAGCTGCATGGAACTGCAAAACGGGCATGCAGAGGGAAGGCACAACCTGGGTGCAGAGCTGAACGTGGAAGAAATGGGTCTGATGGGATCAGACCATCAGAAGCAGAAATTACAAAATATCGTGGAAAAGGAAGGAAGGAGATGGAGGCACAAAGCCCTCAAAACGATGCCATCCAGAGAACTCACAGCAGATGCATGAACAAGTCCACAGGGCAGAAGAAACATCTCATTTTGCTTGGACCATCTGGGCCTCCATCAGTGTAGATTCTGGGAGGCCCCTGGGCATGGAAAGTTTTTCAAGCTAGCCAGGCTAGGACCACTTGTGAGCTGAGGCCAGCTGGTTGCAACATAACTGGCCCAGCATTTTTCTCAGGGAAGTCTGGCCCCAAGCTGCCCCAAAACAGCCTGAAGCCAACGGGCACAGAAAACGTTCCAGAGCAGCTTGGCACAGAAATTCCCTGAGGGTGAATTCCAGGGCCTCCAGGCACAAAAAGGCTTTTCCTGAATGGGGTGAGACACACAGCTGGTGAAGGGTGTTGCTGCTGATAACCAGATGCTATCTCCAGGGTGCCTGCCCTGGCACTGTGTCACCTCCAGGAGAAGGCATGCGGACTTTGTTTTACTGCTGTTGTCAAAACCACATTGGCTCTCTGAGCTCTCCTCACGCAGAATGCCCACTTCATCCTGTTCTTCACTACCTGTGGAGCGATAAGGAGTCCCTCACAGGACCATGTTGCAATCCTGGTGCTGAAGCAGGGCACGTGAAGGCTGCGTGAACTGCAGAAGCAGCACTCAGTTCAGCCCGTGCTGACCTTGAAGGCTGAATCACAGCTTGTGAGGTCTAACAGAATGCCGTGCAGTCCCACCCACTTTCAGGTAAGCAAAGGGAGACCTGTCTTCTCATTGCTGCCACCGATCTCAGGGCTGATCTCAGAGCTCCAGGAGAGCAGTCTGACACAACACCACCACATAAACAAGACTCGCATCCTCTCCCCATCCAAACACAAGCAGAAATGCTCGCACTCCTCACCACACCTCACCACCGGGCTGAGAGCTTTCCAGCTCATCATGCACAATACAGATGGTATGACCCCCCCTTGTCAAACAACTGTTTTCTTTTTTCTCGGGCTGAAGGGCACAAATACTCACCACTGACATCTAAGATAAAGATTGTCTTTCCTCCGCTCTCTGCAGCTTCACCTCAACGAGCCTTCCCTTCCCATGAGAGCTGTGCTAAGCATGGCCTGTGCTGCAGCCCAGCAGAGCCGCCCTGGCAGCAGCAGAGCATGCCCAAAATTCTGCCAGTCCCCGGAGACCTCACTGCTCAGCAGCCCTTGGGAAAGCTGTGCTGTGACAGTCTTCCACAACGCTTTTAGCTGCTGTTTCCTTTTGTTCCTAGGCAGGTTTCCAAGCTCTGCCTTTCCCTCATCATCCACCCTGAAAAGCACCGTGTCCAGGTAATCCAGCCTGACAATTTGGAGATTCTTTCCCCTGCCCTCTCCCCATCAAGGAATCTACAGTCCTGAATGGTTTTTCTGAGGTCCTAATCTGAGCGTTAGCAATAGTTTGAAAAGCAGAAAAACAACAGAAAAAAATAAATCTACCCTTTGTTCCTTATCATGCAAGCAGGGTCAAAAAGAGACAAAATAGGGACAAATAAAGGAATGCAACTGCTGATAAGGGGAGATTTTGAAAGCTACCATGAATATTTCAATGCGCAGCGCTATGAAAACTTTCTCCTTTTCTCTTTATGAATGCTAAGCTTATATTGTATAGGTTATATATTGCATCTTTCAACCTTGTCATTTTTAGGAATGTTTCCATAGCCAAAAAATAAACCTTAGGGTGACTGTGCTGGCCATCTCTAGAACACTGATCAGAAATGTCCAGGGAGAGTGCCACAAGAGAATCAGGCTTCCAACTGCATGCAAACAAACAGACTGAAATGTAATTAGGATTGATGGCTAAAAGACAATGTTCGTCTACTTTTCAGCCCTGATTCAGCCATGCACAGAACAAAACTCTTGCATGCATTCAGCTGAAGGTAATAAAACCAAACAAAGCAAGAGTCACCAGCCCTCCCAAAATCTGCTTAGGTCCGTGGTCTTCCCTCTCTGCTTTCTTTTTACTGCCTTCAGCTCAGTTTCACTCTGCTTATCCTTCTTTTGCCAAATCCTCTCTCTTCACTATCCTGTCATCTCCACATTTACCTCTCCCCATCCAAAAAATGGACTATGTAACCTGCTGCCAAAAGATCAGAGGAGTCACCTTGGGAGACACGAAAAAAACTCCCTCGGCTCTGCTAAGGCTAGTGAGCTAATGGCAGTTTGTTAACACACAGGGACAGATGACAAGAGCAGGACATACATGAAATCAGCTTCACCTGCCCCACACCACATATCACGCTGAATGTGGGACACAGGAGGGACACAACCAGTCCAAATGTGCCAGGGCTTGCGGGAAGGAATCGGTTAAACACATAACTTTGAATGCAGTCATTAATGCACCACGGAATACTGCTGGTTTTCCGCCTGGCAGCCAGCTACATGCGCTGTAAATTTCATGACGTGACTCCGTACCAAGCGGGCCGTACAGAGCAGCCCCATAGGAGTACTCACCATCCTCCCTCCACAGGTCGCCCAATAGGTTTACACTGAAGCCAGATGTCTGCTTCCTGCTCCCATGCAGTCCTTGCTCAGGCACACGGTCTGGGTCTCAGAGACCCCACGTGGAGGGGTGCTGCCCCCTGCTCAGAGCTGCCCCGCAGCTGCCAGGGCACCGGAGGGACCGAGGGCTGCCTGCTGCTGGGCTCCCCACTGTCACGGTGCTGTCAGGGCACAGCCAGGTACAGCCCTGCAGGTGTTGGGTCAGCAGGCACAGCGTTCCTTACGCCACCCACAGAAAACATCTCTCCCCAGGCTGCTGCACTCCGGCAAGACTCAGAAGCGCTTGCAGGAGATGTAACCAAAGTAGTAGTAAGAGTAACCAAACAAGCTGACCAAGTCTCAGTTCCACACAATTAGGCTGGGATCATTACAGCAACAGCAAGAAAAGCACTCTACAAATATCAGGTCATTATATTTACTCTGAATAACATTACCAACGCTGCTCCCACAGAGCAAAGATCTCTCTGCAGCTCACGTGTTCCAGCAGACCCTGCCCCTGCTGTTAAGTAGAAGCGCTCCAAGTGACAGACTGGAGAAAAAAGTGTGTAGAGGAACTTCGTGGTGGCTTTACAACTTTCAACCTCACACTCTCCACATTTCTCACCTCTTTTTCTAGCCCTGAGCAGAGAAATGGCTGTTGGCTGCAACCCCTGGCAGGAGTGAAGCAATGACTAAACAAGCAAGCAGCAAGAAAGGTGTCTGCTTGTGCTAGTTTGGAATGCTAACGTCTAGGTACAGCACTGGGTTTCAGTTTTCAGTCCTTTGTGTCCTTCTTTGCCACCAGCTTTCAAGACAATAAAAAGCTCTCCAGTAGGAAAGAAAGTGGGAAAACATGTCCCTGTTGTTAAACCAAGCACTAGGAAGACAGTTTTCTGTCAGTAAGACACACTCATCCCTGAAGGGATTCGGAAGACAGGACAGCATCCCTCTTGTGAGCACAGATCAGGCTCAGGCACGAGCAGTCAGCCTCCTGGAGCACGAGCTGCTCCACCACCATTCATCCCACCCTGGGCAACCTTTGTTCTCAGGTGATCTCACCAGAGCAGTCAGCTCTTCACAGCTCACCACACTCCCTCCTCTCTTCCCTTTAGTGAGCAGCAGCGACAGGGACAGAATTGCCACAAACATTAACGAACAGCTCCTAGCAAAACTGTCCACAGCAACAGCGTGGCTGTAGCTTTCTCCAGCACTGCCTTGCTGAGGAAAGGACAGGGGCTCTCCTGAAGCCCTGCACCACCTGCTTCAGAGCGACCCCCCCATGCACCTGAGACCTTCAGTCTTCTGCTTACTGTTCTTCATGCATGGCCTGAGAACAGGCAGAGCAGGGAGTTCTTCCAGAACCACTCCCCTCCAGTCCCCAGAGACGTGTGCCAGCAGCCCAGGGAAAGCCTGCTGTGTTGTGTGTAAGTCACTTAATGAAAGGGTCACTAATGATGCAGACCTGCTCATAAATACCACATCCTGTGCGGCAAGCCCTGGTCTGTGGGCTGCAAGAAAACTAGAGGGAACCTCTAAAAATACCAAGGAAGCTTTTGTGCTGTCTGACTGTTGCAAGAGCAGACAGAGGCTTTGTGAAAGCACTCCTTCGCTCCACTGATTTGGACCGTTCTCATCTCGTCCCATTAGCAGCTGTTGCTTCCCCAGGATAAAGGTCTCTGTCATAAATGAATGCTCCTCTCTCCTGTCCTCTCATGCCCAGCGGCCCTTCATTTATAATAAGCTCTTTCCAAGAAATTGTAGTTATTAAATCAAAGCAAAGTCCTCATACAGCCACCAGACGCTGTGCTCACAGGGTCACATTATCCCTTCTCATTTTAAGCGCTCCCTATCTTCAGGTGTGAAAGGCTCTGGCTGAAACTATGTGACATGTGCTGCTGTCAGTATGGAAGATGTACTGCTAAGAACTGACTATAAGTTTAACACAACAGCAACAGCAGCCAGGGGCACTACATGAGTACCTCTGAATCTTCCACCCCTCTGGAAGCAACGAGACTGCTCTCTGATGCAACAGGAATGTGCAGGTCACCAGCATTTCAACTCCCCTCTTAAAGCCAGCGTAAATGTTTTCTGTTGTCCAGAGGAGGCAGAAAGTCCAAACATTAACTGCAACTCTGTTTATGCTCAGAAAGGAGATCTAAGTACGAATGACAAAGCTTGCTGACCAGGAGCAAGAAACCCAGTAGGTAAAACAGTTGCAGGTGGCATGGAAAGAACACAGTGCTGGATGCAATGGAAACTGAAGCTGAAGCAAAATCAAGAAGATATAGGGGGGCTAGTAAATTTAGGCAGATTTGGTGTACAAAAAGCCAACAAAAGAGGTAAGGAGCAATTTCTAGATGGCACAAGAACTACTGAATTCTTTCTCCAGTACAACTGAAGCAGGATTTTCAAAGGTCACTTTCTCCGACCTCAAGAATGGTTTGCCAGAAAATGCAAGAGAACAGCACTGATGTGCATTACATTACGAACAAGAACATCCTCGCAAATCTCAGCCACTAAAAGGACACACAGAAGAACTGGAAGCAATAACCGGGCAGAAATATCATGACAGTGTCTAAGCACACAGCTTGGAGAGTCCCAAGCCCAAGTGAAGTTGAATCTGGTGAGGGCTGTGAAGGCAACAATAAAGGTTTCAACAGGTACCATCAGTCAGAAGGACAACTGTGGAAAATGTGTGCCTGCTGAGGAATGGCAATGAGAACAAACACCAAAGAAGGCTGAGGTATCAAACACATTCATCTCAAACTATGCTGGTAAAACTAATCTTCAGCAATCCCAAGGCCCCTGAGACTGGTGAGTATATCTGGAACAAGGAAGGTTTGACCTCGTTGGAGGAAGACTGGGATGGAGAACAATTAGGCAGACTGGACATGCAGAAGGGACAAACCCATGGGGGCTGAGGGAGCCAGTCATGTCATTCCAAGGCCAACACTGCTTTTCTTGGAAAGTCGTGGAATGGAAGGTGTCACGAAGGACTAAAGAAGGCAAATATTCCTATTCTCAAGAAAGGCATGAAGGATCCAGGCCCTTCAGCCTGACTTCCAGCACACAGGCAGACATAGGAAGGAACCTCTTAATGTGGAAATTGTCCAGTAGCTGAACTGGTTGCCCAAAGAGGCTGTGGAGTCTGCGCCCATCCTCAACAACCAGACAATGTCCTGAGCATCGTGCTGCAGGCAGCCCTGCACTGAGCTGGCAGTCCGACCAGCTATCTTGACCAGCTATCCTTGGCCATACTGTGACTGTGGAATGTGCACGGTGATTTCCAGGGAGACAGAGTGAAAGCAGACCAGAAATGTCTATGCACACTCACTGTAGAGAAAATGGGAGAAGTTTCTGTTGCAGGACACGGTCTGCGGGGGACTCATCAGCGCTTAGGAGAAGGAAGGTGAGCTGTAACAACTCAGCCAGGTGGCTGAAAAGCAATGAAAATAGGCAAACTGCAGCACATCCTCATTTGGATCGGCTTCATGAGATAAGAAGGAAAGCAGTGTTAGGTTTTCAGGGACTGGGAAAGGGAAAGTGAGATCAAAGAAGTGAAAAAGAACAAAGTTGGTGGAAACACAGAAAAAAAGTGAGACAGGGGGAGGGTCAGCACAGCTTTTGTAAATCCTAGCGTGGCCCCAAATGCCAAACCGTGCCAACAAACATCAGAATCTTTGTGTGTTCAGGTTTCCAATACCCAGTACAGTTCCACAACAAAACAACGCAGCAGCACTACGTTAGACTGAAGGTCCTTAAGTTGATAGGATTTGTGGAAATGGGAAGCTCCTGCTTTTTGAGTGCTGCAGACCCAAGTTCAAAATAGACTCACCACCCTCGCTGCACGCCTGCACTGCTGCCAGGAAGGACACATCTGTGGGAAACAGGCAGATCCGCACAGGTCTTGGGAGCACATCTTCCTCTTATTCTTCTCATTCATTTCTTTACATCCTTCCCTGAGAATCTTCTTCTAAAACCCTCTGGTGAGGGAGCAGCACTTCCTACAGAACTTACCACTTCTCAGCTGCCTTTAATATTGCGGAGCTTTCAAAGCCAAATCTCCTTTGTGCAGCCTTTGTGTCCTTTGCTTCTTATCCTATTCAGCCACCTCACAGGGAAAAGATTGTTCCCTTCTTCACGCAGCAAGCTTTCCTGTGCATCTGACACACAGCTTTTCAGACTTCTCCAGATACACCTAATTCTCTCGCCACAGCCCATGTTTTCTCAACAGCTGATGAATTTGTTCTCCTTGCTTCTGCTTTCTCCCAGCTGACCTGTATTTTTTCAGAGCAGCTGCACCTAAAGCTGGCATATTTCCATTTTACTAACATGGATGAGCATATGCTTTCTTTATGATTTACCAGATCCTTTCCTGTCCGTATTTATTTCTTGCTGCAGCGTGTCATTGAGTTCTGCTCAGTATAGGATGAACCACAGCCCCTGGTCACTTTCTGCAGGACTGCTCTGAGTCTGCCTGCATCGTGTCACCCAAATACACCCACCTCTCACTGCTCAGCTGCATCCTGTTTCTGCTGTAGTGTACCTGCAGCTCATCGAGGCAGCTTCAAATCAGATACCTGCCTTCTGCAGCCTTCCTGCTCCTCTTGTTTCCTGTTTATTTTTCCAACAAAAACCGACAAAAATATCAAACAGCTTCAGATGACAGGGAGAACCCTGCAAAGCTTTTCTCAATGGATTCTCCCATTTTGATCACGCAGGCACATAAGCTGCTATGTAGCTCCTCCACGAGATTTACATCCCTCTTACCATAGACAGGTGTATACAGTCCCCTCATCTTGATTAATGCAGCAGCACTGAACATTGGTCTAAAGCCAAGATAAGAGAAATGCCCTGCTTTTACACTGGGTCTGCTGGGCTTACCACCCTTCATGAGAGGAAATCAGAGTGGGTTGACATGAGTCGATCGCCATGCTCATTCTGCTTCTTCCGTTCCCTGTCCCTCCCAGAAGTTCCCCTTTTTCATGTTGCTGTGGCATTCTTTCTATGGAGACGCATACAATTCCCTTTGTCTAGAGCTAGAGTCTTGTCTCCATTCTCTTTGGTGTCCTCTAAGACATCCTGTTCCTAGCCTGGACCCTGCAGACCGCACTGAGCATGGCTCACACACGCTAGCCCTGAACACAGCCTAACCTTGATCAGCCCCATTGGAGCCCGAATCCCAATTTTTCCCTTCCCATTCTTGCAGAGGAATTTAGCCAGGTTTCAGCGGGTTCTGAGCTCCTCCCTCCGATAAGACAATATTGTCAGCACCTGTGAGCCCTGCCAGCCAGAACCAAGCTGATGGGGTGATAGCAGGGCATGTCAAAGCTGATGGATGGTATGTGGGACAGCAAAGCACTTGCTGTTCATGGCAGTGTGGCAGAGAGATGCATTACTTCCATGCTTTTTTTTCTCATGGGTCTTTGGAAACTGTT